AAATAAATAAATAAATAAATAAATTGTACCATCCAAATATGGTATCAGGAGATGATATCTGGCCAATTGTACTCCAATGCAGGGGGCTACCACAGCACCCAGCTAATTTAGCTGATTGTTACCCCAGTTCATCATTTACATAGTAGATCATTACATCAGGGCATCGCTTACCCATAGGAAAGCTAAAGTCCCATGTCATAATGTTTTTACTAAATAAAATTAAAACTAAATAAATTAAAAGGTATATAAACAAGAGATTTCTTTTTACAGAAGTAAAATCTCAAAGGATACAGAAAGGAATGAGATGGAGAATGGGACTCATGACTGGCATATGGACTAAACATGGCAAAGAGGTTACGCTGCATCAGATTATGAAGTTACCTCCTTAGACTTTGGCTGGGAAGGCTGGTGAATTTTTCTATTTTAGAGAAAATATTTTTATGTGTGTCAATAACATTCTTAGAGCTATGTAATGCTTTTAATTTTGTATATGTTTACTTTTAAAAATTTAAATACTTTTTCGTGCCTGTCACTGAAAACTATAAGGCTTTTTGCTTTTTATAATTTTATTCTTAAGAACTTCGAAGTATTCTAGAGATTTATTTTCTGCTTTTATACGCAATTAGCTCCTGTGTTTTAATGTTTTGGTATTTTTGATTCAAGCATGACTAAAATTATTGTCTGGATTTTGCACAGATACAAATTTACAACTGAGATGTATTTTCTGACTTTAGTATTTGTTCAAAACTTAAGTTCAGTTTTTATGCATTTTGAAGTATTTTATGCCTATTATTTTTGCACATCTGCATGACTCTTGGATTTAAGCATATGTGCCTATAGATTTTTCTTCATAGCTCTATGACTGTCTTTGATAATTTTAGGATTTGCTACTTTTAAATATGGAACATAGAACTGATGTAAATAAATGGAATTTGTATAGAATTAACAAGTTATGGAGTGGCCTGAAATTACTGCAACAATGAAAATATTTATAATGAGATACCTAGAGGAGTTTTAGAAACAGCTTGTCACTGATTATTTGGTTTCATTCTGGTATTAACCCTTTACTGTGATAATGTCAGCTATGATGAACCATAGAATCTGTTCTCTCTACTTGGAAGGTCTGTAAATTTTTGTGGGTCTCCTGGGATGATCAGTTATCCAAATCAGGGTATGACAGTTGAAAAACTAGTGGAGGCAAGAACCATCTTTTATGCCTCTCTTAATTGCTGTTAATATAACTTCTACTGTCAGCTCTCTCTATGCCAAGATCCCCTGGATGACAGCAAGGCTGTGGACACACCTAAGCCATCCTCATCTGGCTCTGCTATTTCATCCAGTTGGTTGCAGGGGGAAGGATGAAGGAGTGAAGGAAAATAGTTTTTTTGTCTTGTTTTAAAGACAGGGAACAGCAACGAGCAAAGCTACCAGATGAGCATGACCTATGGAAAGTGGAGAGCTTTGCCTTCCTACATGAGTGAGTAGTAGAGAACAACCACCCATATCTTTCCCTAAAGTATGAAAAGCTTACATTTTCTCAGTACCTTATTTCTTTTTTTCTAGTAAAATTACTTGACTTTTTAAACACTAGGAAAAAATTCCATTGTTTTTAGTAAGAGAGGAATTTCACTAGTTTTTTAGAAGGCAATTCAACTTATACATATTAACTAGTATTACTATGTTCCTTAGGAATGGAATATCTTGTCTTACATTGAGCACAACCTTACAGTGTGAAATCTCATGAGAGAACATTCCAAAAATGAGCAAACTGAAACTAGAACTGGCCTAGCTAAACGTACCTTCCTTTTCTCTGGTGCCCCACAATAAATACAATGTTATTTCCCAGTACCAAATGCCATAACAGATTACAGGGTCAAGGAACAGAGGCTGTGGGAACAAATACTGCTTTAAAAGACTAATCTATTAAACCCATTAAACACAAAAAATGGACTGCTCATCCAAAATTGTCAACAACTTAAATTCTGACCAGAGTATAGGTTGCTGTCCTCTGAAGATGCCGGCTACAGAGACTGGCGAAACATCAGGAAGAACAACCTTCAGAATACGGCCAAAGAGCCCGAAAAACCCAGAACAACCAACTTAAATTCACTTCCACAGAAAATATAATGATACTGTATAACATACACAGAAATTCCAGCATTATTCAGACTGTACTTACCAGGAAAAGCAAGTGTATTTGTTGGATGCCAGCCAAACAATTTAGTGGGATCAAATGGAGCTAATGACTGAAAAATTAGAAAGCAATTAGAATTTGTTTAAAACACAACAAAATATTAAACAGAATCAAGATGTCATAGGGCTTCCTAGACAGGTACAGTTGTAAATATAGGTAAAGGTAAAGGTTCCCCTTCACATTTAGTCCAGTCGTGTCTAACTCTAGGACACAGTGCTTTTCCCCGTCTCCAAGCCGTAGAGCCAGCGTTTGTCCGTAGACAGTTTCCGTGGTCACGTGGCCAGTGCGACTAGACTGTAAATATACAATGTATGGCTGTAAACATACATTGGCCCAAATATTCTGGGATCAAGCATCCTTCCCACAAAATTCTAATCTAGATTCATATGCATCAAATCCACAGAGCAGTCAGAGAAACATAAGAAGGGGAAATAGTATGTGCTTTCAAAACTGGCCAGAATGGCCAATTGCTGCCCCACCCTTCTGTTTCTGGAGACAAAACTTATAATTTTCATACAATCATAGAATCTCGACGTTGGAAGGAGCCTATAAGGTCATCGAATCCAACCCCCTGCTCAGTGAAGGAACAGAAAACAAAAGATATCTGCTAGGTGGTTGTCTAAACTTCTCTAGAATGTCTCATGTGTTGGAGCACTCACCACCTCTTGAGGTAATTGATTCCATTGCTGCTGCTGTAACAGGAAGTGTTTCCAGATATTCAGCTGATTCTAGTAACTTGAGCCCATTGTTGCATTTACTGCACTCTGGGATTATTGAGGTCTTGCCTCTCCCCTGTATGACAGCTTTTCATGTATTTGAAAAGTGCTCACTTATCTCCCCTCAGTCTTCTTTTCTCAAGGCTAAACATGCCCAGTCCTTTCAGTCTTTCCTCATAAGGCTTGTTTTCCAGCCCCCTGATCATCCTTGTTGCCCTCCTCTGAACTTGTTCTAATTTGTTGGCATCCCTCCTGAAGGGCAGTGTCCAGAACTGGGCACAGTACTCAATATAAAGCCTAATGTAGTGCTGAATAGAGGGGGACTAGCACCTCACAGAATTTGGAGACCATACTTAAGTTGATGCAGCCAAAAATAGCATTTGCCTTTTTTGTAGCCACATCATGCTGTTGGCTCATATTCAGGTTGTGATCTATAATGATTCCAAGATTCTGCTCACTTGTAGTACTGCTGACACAGGTATCTCCCATCTTGTAACAGTGTTTTTAGTTTCTTTTTCATAGGTGCAGTAGTGTGCATTTATCCCTGTTAAATTTCATTCTGTTGTTTTCAGCCTAGGGCTCAAGCCTATCTAGATCATTTTGAATTTTGTTTCTGTTAGCTATACCACCCAATGTTGGGTAATCCGCAAATTTGATTAGCATTCCCTATATCCCCTGGTCCAGGTCATTAAAAATATATTGGAGAGCACTGGGCTCAGGACTGAGCCCTGCGATGCCCCACTCGTTACCTCCTCCCAGTTAGAGAAGGACTCATTAACAATCACTCTCTGAGCACAATTCTGTAGCAAACTGTGTATCCACCTGACAGTTGTTCTATTCAGCCTACACTTGTTAAGCAGAATATCATGGGGCACTTTATCAAAAGCTTTGCTGAAGTCAAGATATACAATGTCTTTAGCATTCCTTCTGTCTATCAGGGAGGTTAACCAATAATAATTAAAAAAATCAGATTAATTTGGCAGTTATTTGCTCTGGACAAATATATGTTGGCTTCTAGTTATTACTGATTTGTTTTCTAGGTGTTTGCATACTGACTGCTTTATATTCTGTTCCAGAATTTTCCCTGCAATATTTTTATTTTCAAGTTTTTAATTAATTTTCCCTAATGATAGGGGTTGAGGTACAAATAGGGGGGCAGTGTAAAAGGGTGTGAAAGGGTAAAATTCCAGAGAGTGAAGGAGTATTCTCACATCCACTTCTACAGTTACATTAAAAAGGGAAATCATACAAAGAGGAAAACAATACAGCGACTTTCCAGAATATCTATAGCTACTAATCTTCCATTTCCTTGGACCATCTGCCACTGCTCTAAATCAATGTAATAACCGATATTTTGTACCCATATTCTCATATAATCTTTCCCCACAAGCAGTTACTGTCTTTTTACAGGTATTATCTGGGTCTCTTTCCAGCAAGTGGTAAACACAAGGGCAGTTTGTGCCTTGAGGCGAATAACATTTACAATTCACTTTCTCTCCAGCAATGGGGTGATTAGCAATAAGTTAGCATGGGAAAGGGTTTTTCCTCTTTTTCAAATATTTTCCCAAGACTGTTTCTGGCTGCTTCACAGATTTAAATCCATCAAATTTATAATTCAGTAGTTTACGGTTATATTGTCCTGCCAAAGCGAGTGTTATTACAGCAATACAAATCAAGTCATTTCTCCCCCACTTTCTTTTCTTTTTTCCTTCTTTCTCTTTTCTCCCTCAAATGGAGGGGGGGGGAGTGCTCACCTGTCTCACCAAATATAGATCTAGTCACTTTCTGTGACAGATTACATCCACTCTCTTCATTATTTAGGTCCTGAAGAGTTCTATATGTAAAACAAACATCTTAACTTACTTCAAGTTCTGGTCAAAAATATTTTCCAAAATCCTTCTGTACTTTTCCACACCCTGCAAGGGATCTTCATACCTTTGTGCCAAAATGGCTCCCTTTCAGTCTCTGCACTCAGATGAGACTTCAAAGAGAAGAAAAACCAGGCTTCCACCAGTACTTCTCCCTTCTCAGTCGATTCTGCTGCTTCAGGCTTTTGCTTTTCCTAGGGAAAGTCCTTGCCCCCCCCCCCCGGTTTTGGGGGGTTGAAACCAAGTGGTCTCGGTGAGTTTCAGGAGCCCTCCTGAAACCTGACCAGTCTCACTGGAACCTAATTTTCCCTGGAATTGATGTCAGGCTGACTGGTCTATAGTTCCCAGGTTCTTCCTTTTTTGTCCTTTTTGTAGTCAAGGACAACATTAGCCTTTCTCTAGTCATCTGGCATTTCACCCACTTCCCATGGTTTCAAGAAAATAATGGACAGTGGTTCTGAGAGTTCTTCAGTCAGTTCTTTCAATACTCTTGGATGCAGGTCATCCAGTCCTGAAGATCTGAACTCATTAAAGGTAATAAGGTATTCCTTGATTATGTTTATCAATTTTGTCCCTTCCACCTGCAAGTCACATTTGTTTGGAGGTTCACAGCCTGGCCTTTGGGAAAACACTGAGCTAAAATAGGAATTGAGCACTTCTGCCTTTTCTTTGTCTTCTCTTATCATTTTCCCATTTCCATTGGGTAGCCAAGACACTGTTTCTTTTCTTTGTTTATTGCTTCATGCTTTTTTTGTTGCTTTTAATGTCTCTAGCTAGCCTCAGATGGCAGAAAGTGAAGAGGAATTAAAGAACCTTTTAGTGAAGGTGAAAAAGGAGAGTGCAAAAAATGGTCTGAAGCTCAACATAAAAAAAATAAGATCATGGCCACTGGTCCCATCACCTCCTGGCAAATATAAGGGGAAGATATGGAGCCAGTGACAGATTTTACTTTCTTGGTGTCATTGATCACTGCAGATGGCGACAGCAGATGCAAAATTAAAAGATGCCCGCTTCTTGGGAGGAAAGCGAAGACAAACCTAGACAGCATCTTAAAAAACAGAGACATCACCCTGCCGACAAATGTCCGCATAGCTATGGTTTTTCCAGTAGTTTTGTATGAAAGTGAGAGCTGGACCATAAAGAAGGCTGACCACCAAAAAATTGATGCTTTTGAATTGTGGTGCTGGAAGAGACTCTTAAGAGTCCCCTGGACTGCAAGGAGATCAAACCAGTCCGCTCTGAAGGAAATCACTGGAAGGACAGATCCTGAAGCTGAGGCTTCAATACTTTGGCCATCTCATGAGAAGTGAAATCTCCCTGGAAAAGACCCTGATATTGGGAAAGTGTGAATGCAAGAGGAGAGGGGGACGACAGAGGATGAGATGGTTGGACAGTGTCATCGAAGCTACTAATATGAATTTGACCAAACTCCAGGAGGCAGTGGGAGACAGGAGGGCCTGGTGTGCTCAGGTCCATGGGGTCACGAAGAGCTGGACATGACTAAACAACTAAACAACAAGCTAGCCTCAGTTCATTCTCAGCTTTTGCCTTCCTAATGCCATCCCTGGAATTCCTTGCTACTTGCCTGTACTCTTCCTTCGTACTGACTTTCCTTCCTATGTGTCCTTTATCGTTTTTAGCTCCTCTTGAGATTTTTGTCAGGCCACACTGGCCTTTTTTTGCTCTCTCCCACCTTTTTTTTCTTGTTGGAATTATTTGTAATTGTGCCTTTAGAATTTCCTTTGTTAGAAGCTCCCATCCTTCTTGGACTTCCTTGCTACTTGCCTGTACTCTTCCTTCGTACTGACTTTCCTTCCTATGTGTCCTTTATCGTTTTTAGCTCCTCTTGAGATTTTTGTCAGGCCACACTGGCCTTTTTTTGCTCTCTCCCACCTTTTTTTTCTTGTTGGAATTATTTGTAATTGTGCCTTTAGAATTTCCTTTGTTAGAAGCTCCCATCCTTCTTGGACCCCTTTTCTTGTTAGGATCTCCTTTCATGGGACCTTACTTATCCTTGTTCTGAGTTCATTAAAATTGGCTTTTTAAAAATCCAGCATATATGTGTTGCTACACTCTGCAAGAATTCTAGTAGAACATGGTCACTCAAACCCAGAGATCCCCTTAATGCCACTTCCTCCACCATCTCTATTGGTTAGAATCAAGTCAAGAATGACTAGTCTTCAAGTTTCTTTCTCTACTTTTTAAGGAGAAAATTATCAGCCACACAAGCCAGAAATTTCTTGAAAGGGCCATACTAGGCAGAATTTGCCTGCCAACATATATCTAGATAACTGAAATCTCCCATGACTACATTGTGTCTCTTTGAAATCCTTGCAATTTGTTTTTCTGAAGTTTCATCTGTATTTTCATAGCCCTAAACATTTTTGTAGAACAGATGAAAAAATTGTAAGAGTAGCTGTCCAAGGTGCCTGGTGCACTCCTTTGTTACTTGGAATTTGCTTACTATTAGAAGATACACTGATGAGTTAAAGAAAACTATGCTCTACTACGAACGAATCAGCTTCCTTTTTTTATATGGCCTCTACCTACTAACTTCTCACTCAGATGTCTTTACTAAAGGGCTTCCAATCAGAAGTGAGGCAGTGGGCTCTTTGGCCTTGAGGGCTGAGCATTTGTATCTCACCTACAACCTTGCTACTAGACTGACAGATCAGTTAGAATGGCACAGTACCAAGATCAAGCTACTGTATGTGTGCTGTGATAAATCAAGCATTCATGGTAATCAAACCCATGTCTTCCATTCTGCTACGACCTTCCTTCCTATTACACTGATGTAAGTTGCAGCATGATAGCAGCAGTCTTGACTAGATAATAGATATTGCAACAGATCCTTTTCACCTACTTCAGTGGATGCTGTTCCGTCCCTTCAATGCTGCCTGGAGACGGTACTAAAATGGATGCAGTTGAATGGGTTGAGGCTGAACCCGGGCAAGACGGAGGACTTGAGGGTGGGTGGCCCCTCCATTAGCAGTTTGGGTGACTCCCTTTTTTGGGGGGGAACGACCCTCACCGCAAAGAGCGAGGTTCACAGCTTGAGGATACATCTGGACCCGGCGCTTACCATGGAAACCCAGGTGGTGTCCATGGGCCGTTCCGCCTATTTTCATCTATGGCGGATTGCCCAGCTGCAACCATATCTTGATGGGGGGGGCTCATTACTCTTGTCCACATGCTCGTAATCTCAAGGTTAGATCACTGTAGCCCTCTACATGGGGCTGCGTACTCTTGTCCACGTGCTCATAATCTCAAGGTTAGATCATTGTAATGCACTCCACATGGGGCTGCCTTTGAGATTGATGCAGAAACTTCAAATGGTGCAAAGTGCGGCAGCCAAGCTTCTTAGTGGGGTGAGAAAATATCAGCATATCTCCCCCACACTGGCTGCTCTGCATTGGTTGCCCATTTGCTCCTGCATTGATTTCAAAGTATTAATGATAACATATAAAGCCCTAAACGGTTTGGAACCTCGATACCTGGCAGATCACCTTCTCCCACCCAGGTCTACCCGAATCACTCAACAAAGCCAACAGGGACACCTGAGGGGCCTAACGCTGAGAGAGGCCCGGAAGGAAAGAACAAGAAAACGGGCCTTCTTGGCAGTGGCCCCTCGGCTTAGGAATAGCCCCCCAATGGAAATCCATCTGGCTCCCTCACTGGGCGGTTTCAAAAGCCATTTAAAAACCTGGCTCTTTAGGCAGGCCTTCCCTCCAGTCAATTAACTGATTTTCTGTTTCTTTAATTATTCCATCTTGACAATGTATATAGAAATAAGTTTGTAGGATTTTATTATGTATGTTATAACATTGTGTTTTAATATTCATGTAAGCTGACCCAAATAAACTTTGTCTAAGGGGGCGGGGTATAAGTCCAATAAAAGTAAAGTAAAATAGTTATTCCAGTGACTACCGTACCTGAACAAGATGGTAGAGAGAGACGTCAAAAGGTAAGATGCCATAAGAAGCATATTGGGGAAAGAGGGCTGCTTTGAGCTTGGGGTAAGGAACAAGAGCCATTCTGTAGAGCTGGGCATCCACTTTCTTTCCTCCATTTCCATTATTAACAACCTGCAATGAATAAGTAATTAGGCATACTAGCAAGGAGATGGGAACAGAACAGGTCACAAGTACATATCACTGCACCTAGGACAAGGCTTTATTTGCACCTAAAGAAAAGAGAACATTTTCTGAAACCAATCTCTTGAATATCTCACAAAAGGTCTTTGCTCTAATCAGTTATGTTTTCAAAATCATTTAAATATTTTTGCTAGTTTAAAAATGGAAAAATACACTCTTCAACAGCTTCCAAATATTTTTCAGCATACCTGGTCAATACCTCCAGGGGTAAACATAGTCGTGGCAAGAGCAAGAAGTGTTCGTCCCTCCAAGAGCATCGTACTCACGCTTGCCTGGTTGCTAGGAATTAATACTTGGGCATTTGCTAGGCTAGCCTGAAAAATCCTCTTTATGTCTGAAATGGAAAGGGGAGGAGAGAAAACAAGCATAATGTAAACAAGAGAAACTGTCAGGCAACAAACTTAATTCAGAAAAATCTATAAAGGCGTACCACAAGATGATTAAAATATTTATCAAAGTACTATGCAGAATCCAATTTTCAATGGGTGCGTCTGCAGTTGTCTCTGCTTATTAACAAGATGCTGGATGCATTCCTGGACACACACCTGCTCACAAAATCAGATGTGTGCCCAGGAACATAAACAGCTCCAAATGGGTAGCCATTTGCTACCAAAACTCGCACAGTTTATCCTGCAAGTATAAACTACCCTGTTTCCCCTAAAATAAGCCCTAACCTCAGAATAAGCCCCAATATGATTTTTCAGGATGCTCATAATATAAGCCCTACCCCAAAAATAAGCCCTAGTTAAGTGAAACCCCACCCTCCACCACTGTGTAACAACCAGAATAAGATGGCATGACTGTATTTGAATAAATATAGATTGTTGTACAGGAAAAAAAAACATCCCAGGAAAATAAGCCGTAATGCGTTTTTGGAGCAAAAATTAATATAAGACCCTGTCTTATATTTGGGGAAACAGGGTAGCAACAGTGCCAGCATGCCTCAAAAGAAAATTCAACCTATAAGCACATTCTCTTCACACAAATGATTCTCTTTATTTGTCTGTGGAAGGAGAGGAGAAAGATGTCTTACAAGCCTGCCTGTGAAGAGAGGTGCCACTGATGACAAGACCCTGTGACTGCTATTCACCTCACTCCTAAGGTGAGTACAGCCAGAATGGGACTTTTGGGAATAACCTGTATAGTAAAGGCACACACAAATGTGTGTCTTTACACATCCCAATTCCCAACCAATTCAGGCTTCAAGGGATCCTGTTGTGGAAAACTATGTTCATAAAGTCAATTACACACAGAGTTTTCATTTTTTTACTGCGAGCTCTACACTGCATGACCAAATGTCCATAGTATCATCATTTGCACAATTGCCCTTATGGGATACTTGCTGCCTCAAACCTCCTAGTCTCTGCCAGACACCCCCTGCCACATTTGTTTAATTTTGGGGGGTATTTTATTTATTTTGCTCAGTAAGTCCCCCCTTGTGCCTTTTACAGGGCATCAGGAAATATTTTGACATGTTTTGAGGGGCTGCCAGGGACCCAGGACTCTCAATATCACTTTCAACGATTTAATTAAAAAAATGGGCCACTAGAGGATATCATGGGGCTTTTCCAGTTAAAAGAATGTTTAGAAGTTAAACCTGTTCTTCACGTAATAGAAATCTACTGTATCAAACTCTCAGGCTTTGCCTCTCCCTCTTTAGCACCGCCAGGAAATCTGAAAAATGGCCATCAGCTCTGCTGACATTGTTTTCTTCTGATGTAACTCAACAGGATTTTGGATGTTATGTTCAGCTCAAAAATCAACATTTAAGCACAAGGAAGAGTTATTCTCTGTGATGACAGCATGCTACATTCTAGACTGGTTGTAATATTCAAACACATTTCAGAGACAGACCAATGAAAAGCACACTGCACAAATCCATTTAGGAGATTAATAATACAATTAATAGTGGTTGTGTCCCTACTTCCCTGAAAGAGATGCCAGAATGCCAGGTATCATATACAGTGGTGCCCCGTATAGCGACGATAATCCGTTCCGAAAAAATTGTCGCTATACGAATTCATCGCTATGCGGAACAAAAAAGCACATAGGAACGCATTAAAACACGTTTAATGTGTTCCTATGGGCAAAAAACTCACCGTTCTGCGAAAATCCTCCATGCAGCCGCCATTTTCGCTGCCCGGTAAGCGAGGAAAGGGCACGAAAACACAGCAGGCGGCCATTTTCTTTACCCGGCAGCCATTTTGGAACCGCCGATCAGCTGTTGGAAAAACATCGTTATGCGATAATCAGTAAGCGAAACGCTTACCAATCATCGCAAAGCGATGTTTTACCATTTTAAAAAAACACATCACTATGCGGATTCGTCGTTAAAGAATCGCTTGTTATGTGGGGCACCACGGTACACTGCTTCCCACAAGTAATATCTGAGCATCCAGAAGCAAGATCATGTCCTGAAAGCAGGATCCAAAGAGAGAATCCAAATTTGTTTGGAATTGTTACAGCTTACTATCTTTTCTTTCAGGCACATGAATTTTTTTTCTAGAAGAGAGGAATGAGCAGAGTCTCCTACCTCCAGGATACCCAGCAATGTTTCGACATTGCACTAAAAATTCAAACCAAGGATGAGCTTCATGCAAAGCTTTGTTGTTCAAAACGGGGCTATCTGAAGAATACAAACTGAAAAAGGAAGAGCAAAATATCAATTTCCTGAAATATATTTTAAAAAGCAATACTCTCACACTCCAGTCAACAAATTATGGGCTGTTGCTTGGGGACAGTGTTAGATCTAGCAGTCAGTTGTATTATGACGGATACATATGCTTTTCCCCCAAGTTTGGTATGACAGAAGTAAGAGACTAGAGGTGGTGGTATGCTCCTAACTGGGGACTACTTTCTCCATGGAGCTTACTCTCTCATTTTTACTCCTTTATGCTAGAGAGTTAGACAGCTACAGAATCCAGACCTAAATGATCTTCTGTCTTGAAGGGAAAGTCTAGGATAAAATGCTGCTGGGGGAAGGTGAGAGTCAGAGGAAAAGCCAAAAATACATGAATGTGCAGAATCCAAAGAAACCTTAGAGCTAGAGTATTTTTTAAATCCATCAACAATGTCAAAATTAGTTTTGAGTTCAATATGCAAGTTCCCGGACGTAAAAAGACACTCTTTGGGATATACTTCACAAATCTTGCTTTCCTGGTTTGCTACAATTTTTATTTTCTATACACTTCCACAAAAACAAATCTTAGATACATATCCTACCTATAGTAGTCTAAATACATGTAGAGAAGATAGTCTAGGCCATGTTCTACACAGTAAAGGATAAAGCAGTGGTGCATATCTAAGTCCCCAATGGACTGTGGTTTTGGAAGAGGCTGTGGATTCTGCATTACTCCTCCAATGAAAGTCAATCTCTGGAGAAGACATTCAATTTGTTCCAGTTCTGCTGGCATGAAAATCCCTTTCCTATCAAGAAAAACACAACAAAAATTGGACACAGAACAGTCTTTTCAAGGTTACTAAGGAGATGAATGCTAGGAAAGTTTCACAGAAGTTGATAATCAATATTGAGAAGGCACACACCTAGCCAAGTTATCCAGTATTTCATTCTGCATATAACGGCTACACAATATAGTTTCATAAATGGCTTCTAAAGTCAGTTGTGGCCAATTTGTGCTTCTTCCCTGAGGCTGACGTTCCGCAATCCATGAACTAATATTTCCCCAGTCGTGCCAAGATGACAGATACATCCAAACAACCAATGGATTATGTGACTTGAATTCTGTATTTAAAAAAAAACATATAGTTAGTATGGATGCTCAGAGCTATTCAGATATGTACAGCATCACTTTGTTAATCCTTGCTATCTGCATAAAATCAATATTTCATATTCGGAATCAAGTATGAAGAGTTTAAGGGAGAACTGAAAAGGTATACAGGCACATTTCAGAGTTCCTGTGGCTATTTTTTAAAACCCTAATGGCCTGTATCCAGGACCATATTCATTTCATCCATATTAGTCTGTTCACACCTTAAATATCTGTTATAAAGGCTGCTCTTCATGGTGGCCACAATTAATTAGGATGAAGAAAAACAACTCTGCAGTGTCTAGTCTCATTTTCTTCACTATTTTATCCTGTCAAATTTGTTTGGCTCTGACTCTTATTTATTTATGTATGCATTTAACTTATATGCTGCCCACACTACCTGAAGGTCTCTGGGCGGCTTGCAACATTTAAAATACAATAAAAAGGCAAAATAATTAAAATGCAATTAAATTTTAGTGATTAGATACTCTTTTACTGAAGAACGATGGAACATAAAGCCCCAAATGTATGGAAATAGAAAAGGTTACACTGGTGTTAGACAATTCCTAGCTTGCTTTTCAACAGAGGATCTCTCTCATTGTTGGCTACTTTTTTCTCCTAAGTAATTATAATTTCCCTCCTCTGGCTGATATTTGTTCTTCCAGGCAAGTGACGTTTTATTTAGGGACTCTCATTTTTAGAATAGATTTTTTTGCTAAACCTGTTCAGTTTTTATTTTTCTTACGGGCCTGTTTTATTTCATTTGATTCCAACATTTTAATTGTTACAGGCTAATCTGAGCAGTGCAAATGCCCTGGAAGAGGAGGGAGTACTTTTTAACATACATAGATCTCTACAACAGAACTACAAGTTCCCTAGAAAACAGTAAGCAAGAGTGCTTCTCTGAAGCATCTCAAAATCTTTTTCCTAGTCCAAAACTTATCAGTCTTTATCTTGTAAAACACAATGAAATACAGTGGACCCTCGACTTACAGACGGCTCGACTTACAGACTTTTCGAGTTACAGACTTCTCTGGCTGCAAAATTTAGATTCGACTTGCAGCCGGAGAATCGACCTACAGACCAGAAAAAAACCCAAAATGGAACAAAAATAGAATAAAAACTGCCAGTTATGGGATTAATCAGTTCTCAATGCATTGTAGGTCAATGGAGATTCGACCTACAGACTTTTCGACTTGCAGCCACCGTTCCAATACGGATTAATTCTGTAAATAGAGGGTCCACTGTATTGAAAACTCTTTCCTGAAATTCCTTTCCTCAGCACATGCTTTATTGTCTATTATTATTCAGAACCTTAAGACATAAACCACATGGCATCAACACATTCGTACAAGAATATATTTGCCACCTTGAGGGTGTTGTCTCGGGAGGAGAATCATCTCTCGGGTAACTTGGTCCCATTGATGAGCCCAGTTTAACATAATTCTATGTTTCCTTTCATGAATCCTGTCTTCCTCACAATTAAAAAGGATATCCAAAGCAGCATTGTGGATAGAAGTATCTTGTTCTCTTTGCCAGGACCTGCCAATGAGAGTAGAACTTCTCTATGAAGCATATTTAATTTACTCTTTCCAAATGAATCTTAATTTGTAAGTCAATTTGTAGGAAAATCATTTCTAAGTTTAAAAACACCTCTCTCTCTTGCATGCATGCGTGCACACACACACACATGCGTGCACACGAAAGGGAGAGAAAAGAACACAGAGCAGATCCTCTGCAGCTTACAATTGAGATGGGTTTGACAGTTACATAGAAATGAATTAATCAATTAACCAGAATTAGTTATCAATAACGAATAGCCAGACAACTTGTTTAATCTCTTCTACAGCATTAAACCTTGCATCTGTAGAAAATAAGGAATTTTTATTGTAAGGCTGAGAATTCATCGTCCCAAAACACTGTTCCCAGAAATTGACATTATCAAATACGAATGCAAATACTTTATTGTTTCATAGCCAATGAGGCTGCCTACATGAGCAGAGATTAAAGCAGACTTTAAAAATAGTATTTGCCATCTAATGTTAAGTACATATAAACAATTTGAAAGGCATTAAAATAAAATCAGCATTTTCAAATGAGGATAAAGTAATGAAATTATCTTGAAGAGCTTGTGAAGCAGGCAATGAGTTCGGTCTTTCCACAGCTTGTTTAATGAATTCAGTGGTCCTGTACGATATAGAGTAGGCTGTGTGGTCATCATCAATATTATCAGTTTTAAAACATGGCTAAACATACATTACCTGGATTGAGCTGTACTCTTTTCCTCCTCCTGAAAGGTTTGTGAATAAACATTTTCCACCTGGTGCACAAAGTCTATCATTTCCTTCTCCATTTCAGAAAAGTAGTTTTTCTCTTGAAGCATGTTCACCTTCACAATCAAACAACAACAACAACAACAAAAACCTGTCTCATCAAGCCATGGAACTGCAAGTTTTCAAGAATGAAGCATGTTCACCTTCACAATCAAACAAACAAACAAACAAACTGTCTCATCAAACCATGGAACTGCAAGTTTTCAAGAGCAGCTTATTAAGAAATCACAAATGTGACTATAAATAAAGGTAAAGGACCAGAAGCAATCTAGAATAACATATTAAATGCCAACTCTTCTCCACATAGCACTATAGCTGACAAGGATATCATCAAAACAGGATTTTCACTTCAGCTAGTAATACTACAGAGAAAACACAAAAATATCTGGCAATTAGGTGAATACTGGCACAATTTGTAGATGGCAGTTGCTGACAGTGGAAAGCAGCAAGAGAGGAATCCTGCATCCAAAGGTAGGGCATATAAAACCAGTGGCAACAAGAATCAATATACACACAGAGACAGGTTATTGCCATACTCACCAAAATATCACAGAGGTGTTTGTCAGTTACATAAAAACATATTCTGTGTAGTTGCTCCATCACACTGAATCCCTAAAAAAAAAATAAACCATTGTCTACTATAAAAATGTAAATTAATGTTTGCACACATACAAAAAGGCTTAGTAGCAGGGGTTAGCAACTTCTAAGGCCACATTGGCACCTACCTGAACCCCACAAGAGGAAGCACACCCCTCCACGCTACTATTGCTACTGCATTTGTTAAGTGTGTACACAAAAGACTGGGATTTACCTCTCCTCACCCATTTACACAACAGACCAGGTCAATAACAGGATCATCACTACCTCCCCTCATTTTCACAGCTATGGTTGTGTCCTAGAAAACCATAAAAGGGTCACAGAGGTGGGATCAGAGGAAGAAACTATGGGCAGAGGCAGGACCAGAGGAAGGAAGGAAAGGGGTGTGTGGGTTGGAAGGCTACTCACATTACAAGAAGTATGAACAGTGATCTCACTAAGTCTGCAGCCCCTATGTGAGAACTGATTGCAATTTCAGACATGATACAGGCTGCAATCAAATTGCAGCAAAGCCAAATTGTTCAGCTCTCCAATGTAGTCACACCCTCTGTCTCTTGTTAAACCTGTCATCACTGCAGATCACTGTGTAGCTTGCACTGAGAAAAATAAGGGTTTTTGAACAACTGAGAGGCCTTGGAACCAGGATGCTGCCTTGCCACTATAGCTGATAGACAGACCTTTAGGGAGGAGAGCGACAAACCATTCTTTTTCAGGTGCAAGAGAAAATGGAGTATCATGTGTAGTGAGGGTGGAAAGCTAGATTCTCCTATTGACTGTACAAGAGTTGAACCTCTATCATTTGTATCTGTACCTACATCTGGTGGATGGCTTTTTAGATGCATGGATAAATCCTCTTCTGTATTAGAGAATTCTCCATGCTGTTTGTCTCAGCCTGGTTATGTCTGGGTGGCAAACTGCCCCTCTCTTATGGGATTGTAAGTGTGGGATCACTGGAAGCTGGCAAGTGTCTGCTGCCAATTTTAATATTACAGACCACTTATGGTGTGGTCACCATAGAGCTATCAAAATTGTGCTGGATTTTTCTTTACAAAGTTTCAGTATTACTTTCTGAAATAGGCAAACTGGTGGGAAGAGATAGAGGAGTTTCCTCGACCTGCAGGTCATGAAAGCCTCTCTTAGAGGCCTGCCCAGAAGCAGTACTTTTGACACATCCCATTTTCCACGGTGCTGAACTGATCTCTCTCTGGCTACCCCAGCAGGCACAAACCTCAAACACACTTGTGGCTAGTTCCCACTTGTCGTTGTGAGCCATTTGCCTGCTTAGGCTGTCAACTATTTGGCCGTCTTCTCCTGCCACATGGATGGCCACTGGGAAGATGTGATGAAAGATACACTGTTCCCAGAACTGGATAGTCAGGTACAATAGAGACATGGACTGCATTCTGCCCCATTTGTTTAGGTAGTAGAATGTAGGTGGCCACTTGCACTACTTGTCCAATATCACCGTCTCAGATGCTTTCTTTTAAGGCCTTTGTTACTATTAGCAACTCTGTCCATCCACCCATCCATGCAATTTCTGTACTGTCCCTCTGAGGACCACTACTTTGGGAAGTTTACAGATTAAAACTTAAAAATTGCATATGACCCTATATGACAATACATTCAACAACATAGTGATTCAAAGAAAATTCATACAAAAAGAAAAAAAAGGAAAGGAAAGAAAAAAATTAAAAATTAATACTATCAGCATCTGGTTATCCATTATTGAAGGCAGATTTGTATAATTTTCACCAGTTTCCTGAACATCAGGAGGACAGGGGTCTGATGTATCTCAGTAGGTATCTTGTTCTAACTCTAGCCCATTTATATGGAGATCTCTTTCTTTCTCGGCTCAGAGGGCATGGATCTGATTCTGGCAGTGTGCCCCCCAACCTATCAAACTTGTACCAGTTGTTACTTGAATTCTGGGCCTGGGGTGTTTGAACTGCCTTCTCATGGTTAGACTGCTAGTGTGCTGCAGTGGGTGCAAGTGCTACTTCATGGGCCATGGTTTATTTTCTGGAAATGCTCTTTGTTAATTTATCAAAATAAGTTAGTTACCAAGCTTGAAGGGATCTCATTTTCAAGTGGGCAAGTGAAATTACAGCTGTTGTTTATGCCATAAGGCCTAGTAGTATTTGGACCATATAACCACTCAGACTAATTTGAATTTCTTTCTCAAGCTTAGAAGCTTGTCTAGTCTGTCTTGAGGTAGTCTCTTGAAGTTCTGGCATCTACTGCTGTTCTGAGGTATTGAATCTTCTTGTACAGTGTCAAATTTGACCTTTCAAGATCTGTCAGCAGATGTGAGATGAAAGAGACATCTTTTTCTGCCTTGCCTCTAGAGTTGGAGACAATCAACCAGTCATCTATGTATGGAAACACCGTTACACCACAGACTCTGGTGCCCTATACTTTCTGAAGAATCTGGGTGCTATAAAAGACCACAAGGGAGTACCTTTAACTGTTAGATATTGTTGCCCGATGCAAAATGTAGGAAACACTACTGATCTTTGCAGATAGTAACACAGAAATAGGTGCCCTGGAAGTCTATCACAGCAAACCATTCTCCCTTCTTGAGAAGTAGTAATACAGTTTCTCGCATCACCATTCTAAACGTTTTTGTCTATATATAGAATTTGCATCTCTCAGGTACAAAATTGGTCTCAAGCTTTTATCTTTTCTTTGGAACCATGGAATAATAGGAGCAGAAACAGTGGGAAGCATTTCTGAAAGAACACGTTGTATGGCATATTTCTTTAAGAGCATAGCTGTCTCTTCCTCCAAAATGTATGATGGTGTTATAGGTCTGAAGAGCGCTATTGTAGGGAGAGATATAAATTCTATGGTACAGTTATATCTGATAATTTTGACCAAACTCCAGGAGGCAGTGGAAGACAGGAGGGCCTGGCATGTCTGGTCCATGGGGTCACGAAGAGTCAGACACAACTTAACAACTAAACAACAACAACATATCTGATAATTATTCATCATTGGTGACTGTGCTTAAGGTGCTAAAAATGGAATGGTGTCTTCTATATATCATGTTTTCCCGAAAATAAGACAGGTTCTTATATTAATTTTTGCTCCAAAAATGCATTAGGGCTTATTTTCAGGGGATGTTTTGTTTTACAGTCATGTCATCTTCTTCTGGTTGTGGCACAATGGTGGAGGGTAGGGTTTCACTTAACTGGGGGTTATTTTTGGGGTAGGGCTTATATTACGAGCTTCCTGAAAAATCACGTTAGGGCTTATTTTCAGGTTAGGTCTTATTTTCAGTGAGACAGGGTAAGAGGTAAGGAGCTGAAGATCTCAGTATAGATGCAGTCAAAGATGCTGCATATACTTCTTCTCCTACTTTTTTGATGTGCTTGGTTGTTTGAAACATTGCCATTGAGACTGCTGCGTTGTAGTAGTGCAAGGATGAGGAAGGTGGAGGCTTTTATCATTCTGAAGAAAATTTGGTTGATGAATATGAGTATGGACATACCCAGTATGGTCAGCATTGCCTTTGTTGACATAGTGAATGAAACCCCATCCTCTTAGCAAGAAGGATCTTGGAATTGTTGTAAATCACAAGCCAAATTGGAGTCAACATGTGAAGAACTATCCAGCTCTTGAAATGGATGAAATCCTACAAAAGCCTAGCACTCTGGTCCCATGGAGAACTGGGTTACTTGGAAGTCAATTAATAGGCTACAGACTAGAGTTTGGGGAACCAAAGTGAATCTAAGAAAATGCAATTTCACACCAATGTCAGTGTACTCTATAGCCTTCAACATGTACCATGGAAGTCTTGATGTTAGCTCCCCCAAAATGCTCTTGAATTGCCCATTACTGGATGAAAATTATCTGATAAATTTATTAACTGCATTCTGGTGCTTTTAACACAAGGAATGAGAGATGAGAAAAGTAAAACCAATCTCTTATTATGTGTATACACAAGCAATGGTTTCAGATTGAACCTAATTTAGTATACATATTACTCACCAAGTTTCTTAAGAGTTTGGAGGCTTTTTCAATGTCATCTTTCAAAAGACTTTTGTAAACCAGGTCCAGTCCTATTTGGGTAAGTTCTTCAAGATTTGCACCAGGTTTGCAAGCTAGCCGGCAAAAGGTCTGAGCCTCTGGCAACTGGTTTTTTAAAATAGCTTCAGAAATAATTTGCTACAAGGGGAAAATATATTTACAATTCTGTTAGCTACTTCTCGAGAACACATGCAATTCAGTTGCCTTTTCTACAGGATCAGCAAAACTGGGGAGAATATTGAGGAAAGAGGGTGGCACAAGTTAAATGAATAAGGGCACAATGCAATACAGCACTTTTTAGTAATAAGAATATATGAGAAAGCTCTGATCTTCATCTAGTTCAGCACTGTGGATAACCAACTGTCTCTGGAATTCTCCAGTAAGGCGTGTTTTTTTATTGCAAAATTTATTTTATTTATTTATTATAACATTTGCTTGCATGTTATGATATCTCCTCCAGCAGCAAATATTCAATGTCTTACCAACTCTAAACACATATTGTGGCCATCTATTATACTGGAGTAAATTGCAAAATGTATATATATATATGTATTCTGTGGAAAAGCCCTTGTTTGTCTGAATTTCTGCCCACTGGTTTCAGTGGATGACTCCAAAGTTCTGATAATTATGAGAGACAAAATTTCTCTCTCCACTTTCTCTCCATATTCGAATGGTTTTCTTCTGAAACTTTTCAGTTCCAATAATATCCCTTAATGAAGTAAGGTAACCACAAGTGTGAAGAAAATTACAAATATGACCACATCATAGACATACAATACTACCAGTTTTATTTGAAATCCTTTCTTAATAATCCATGACATAGAATTTGACATTTTCATCGTTCTTACACACCAATTTCACTGTACTATCCAGTTATTTTCAACCAAAGAGTAAGACAAGTGCTTAGTTCTTTTCCACTGCTGTTAAAAGTGCTTAGCTCTGGTTAGATTATGCCGCTAATGTGGCTACAAAGTATCATTTACATTTGTAATAATGCAATTTAGAAAGCTGACATGAGTAGTTGCACAGCTACATCTCAGAAAACTAATGTTCTTGTTTACCTCTACTTCAGACTTCTCCCACATCTGGCTTTGTTCTATTTGAGGCACATCTTCTTCAAGAACACAACATGAGCTTGTAACACTGGATGGCTTGAGAGGAAATTTTATCATAAACATCCTAAGTTTAGAGGTATAGCAGGTTAAAATATCAACACATCTGTCCAGATTTTCATCCAGCTCTGTGAAAAATAAAAGTAAAAAACAGTTGTCTGAAAGGATGACTAAAAGAGCTTCTAGGCAGACTAGCAAAACAAAGAAAAATCTGCAACTTCTTAATGCAGACAAGACAAAATACACTCATTTGGTCTGTTTGCACTGAAACAACATTCCAACATTCTCATTCTTTGTGTCAAAAGCACCAGAGTGCAGTTAATAAATTTATCAGATAATCAGATAGCAACAAAGGAAGTACAGGATAGGCAGTTAACCTTTGGGCCATAGAGACTTGGATTCTGATCCCTGCATAATCATATATAAGTCATGATCTACCAATTTATCTCCCTTCTCAATACTGAAACAAAAAAAGGGTGAGCAGGGAATAATGTACGTTTGTCCACACTTCCTCAGAGAAGGAGACCAATAAAAAAGTCACAGAAGATGAATATTGCTAAAGAAAACACAAAGCACAAAGACCCATAGACTGGACAGACTACAAGGCATTGATTATTTTGCCTTAGTATGAATAGTAGTCCAGCCAGTTTGGAATAGTACCACTGCACATCATGAACTGACAAAATCATGGCTTTTAATACTAAAAAGTGAACATCTTAAATTCACTGAATAAACAGCATTAATTCAGAAGTTAAATTCTTTGTTCTGAAATAAACAGTGGGATTTACAAGGTTCCTCCACTGTTGCTCGTAATGGCACATTAGCTCCTTTGAAAGTGCTCTGTTTGTTCTTTAAAAATTGCCCAGCCTAATCAAGCAGGCTTTTTTACAAACACAAATCCCAAAATACAAGTATTAAGCTGGGAATAAGTAATAGGATATAAAATGTGTGGAAAGTAGGAATGGAAGTGGTTATAACACAGAACCCTATCTACAAAATCAGACAGAAAAAATAGGAACATACCGCCACAAATAGGGCTAACTATACACAAAATTAACAACCAACAAATCTTTACCTACTTTCACATAGACTTTCATAGTGTACTACCATAGAAACCAATACAGGAAACAGAGCGAATTAGCACTGCAATAAAAGTTCAGCTCTCTGTCTGCATGGCTGTTTCAGTTACAGCAAATAGCTTCCTAGCACATGTACTTCCTCTACGGGACAATAATAAAAGCTGACAACTATTTCTTCCAGTCTCCCTCAGATAACTGACATTCAAAATTCTGTTTGAAACTTGAAAAAATATTTTTGGAATTTGAAGCAATCTGAAAAAAAGTAGCCTCTGATCAAAAGTGGAAAAGGGTGCTTGGATAATCTTCATGGCCATTCTCACAAGCAGTTTTCTTGGAAGCACAGATGTGAATGGCTCCAGTTAGGAGAGGGGCCATGCATATCACCCCAGGTCCTTTTTCTTCTTTAAGTCTTTGCTTCTAATTGAATAACTCTGAGAGTCAATTAAGTAAAATTTCTGGAGGAATAGCAGTATCATTGTGTTACATTAAAACCAAGAAAGAATATTGTGGCATCTAAGTATTAATTAGTTCCATTTATCATATGGTTTGTACATTGCAGTCCTCTTTCTAGAGTGCATGGAGCACAGCATAAGCAAACAAACATCTACTCAGTTGGGATATGAAGTGTAATAGAAGTGCAATAAAAACAGTTATGAAATTGGCTTAATTCATGAACTGGTTTGCTGCTATGTGTTGTCAAGGCACTTCTGACTTATGACAATCCTAGAAGGATTTTTGAAGCAGGCATACATAGTTTTTCACCACTTATGCTTCCAATGAATTTTTGAGGCCAAGTGGGGATTTGAGGCCGCAGAGTTTCCTAATCCACTACATGACAAAAGTATATGAATACTCACTTAACTCAACTGTGAATCGCAGCTTTACAATATATACAGCAAATGCATGTTTACTTAAGAGGCCCCAGTGGGCTTACTTCCAAGAAAATATACACACATGATCCTAGCATTAGATATCAGAGATATGATTGGATGGATTGAGACTTGCATGCAGATCTCTCTTGTCTTTGCTCATCAAATATTATTATAGATGACTCTTAGGACCACATAGTTTATAAATGAATATTAATTTAAAATAATTTAAAAAACAAGAAAAGATTCATTGTTTGTTATGCATGCAAAACTTAATACTAACTAACACTGCCTTACCTTCAATGTGGATAAAAAGTTCACAAAGCTGTTTATTGAGAAAAGACAGAGTGAGATTCAGCAGTTGTTCAGAGAAGTGTTTGGTCTGCACTTCCAAATCATTTTCTTGGATTGCCATGTACAGTAAGTCCAAGGCTGGCCTCAATTCTTCAACACCTGTGAGACAACATTTAAAAGAAGAAAAGATTGTGTTAAAAGTATGGATTTGCAACAGTGCAAATTTCCTTCATATTTAATATGGAGCCATACTTAAACTATTCCCATTATGAGTTCTGATAAGAAAGGACACAATCCTGGTAGACTCTTCTCAACAAGTTTCACTGATCTATACCTTCAGAAATCTTATGTACTTTTCAATGTGGCATTTATAGCATTAACTTTAAGCTTGTTCTTTCCCAATCATAGAATGACAGAATAACTGAACTGGAAGGGGCCTCTATGGCCACTGAGTCCAACTCACTGATCAATAAAGGAATCCAAGTCAAAGCACATCTGACAGATGGTTGTCCAATTTTCTCTTGAATAATTCCAGCATTGGAGCACTCACGCTTGTACCAAGCCCACACCTAGTTAATTTGCTAATCAGAATATCATGGGGTGCTTTGTCAAAGGCTTTCCTGCAGTCAAGATATATTATGTCGACAGCATTCACATCATCTACTAACCTGATCCCAAGGGAATTGGTTTCATTGTCATACTACTCTCTGACAGTTATACAGTTTTTCCTGATATTCAGCCTAATCTAGCTTCCAGTAGCTTGAGCTCATTGTTACATGTCCTGCAATCTGGGATTACCAAGAACAGATCCTGCCTTTCCTCTGTATGACTATTTGAAAAGTGCTATCAGATCTCCCGTCAGTCTTCTCTTCTCAAGGCTAAACATGCCCAGTTCTTTCAGTTTTTCCTCACAGGGCTCGGTTTCCAGTTCTGATCATCCTTGTTGCCCTCATGTGAACTTCCTCCAGTTTGTTGGCATCCTTCTGAATGTGTTGCCACATTAACACATGTACTGTGTTCAGTTCCAGAACTGAACACAGTACTCTAGATGAGGCCTAACTAATGCTAAATAGAGGAGTAACTTGCAGTATTTGGAGATTATAGTTCTGTTAAAGCATCCTAAATTATCATTTGCCTTTTTTGCAGCCACATCACACTGCAGGCTCATATTCAGCTTGTGATCTACAACAATTCCAAGATCCTGCTCATGTATAGTATTTTTGAACCAAGTATCTCCCTTCTTGTAATTGTGCATTTGTTTTGTTTTCCCCTAGGTGAAGAACTTCACACTTCTCCCTGCTGAATTTCATTCAGTTGTTTTTAGCCCAGTGCTCCAGCCTATCAAGATCATTTTGAATTTTATTAACTATTCCATCCAATTTTGTGTCATCTGCAAATTTGATATGCATTCTCTGTACTTCCTCATCCAAGCCATTGATAAACATGTTGAAGAACACTAGGCCTAGGACTGAACCTTATGGTATGCTACTTGTTGTCCCTTCCTCCCAGTTTGCAAAGGAGCCATTGATAAGCAGTTTCTGAGTACGATTCTGTAACCAACTGTGTATTCACCTGATACTTGTATCCAGCTTGCTAATCTGAATATCATGGGGCACTTTATCAAGGGCTTTCCTGCAGTCAAGATGTCTACAGAATTCATGGCTTTCCTGCAGTCAAGATATATTATGTCTACAGAATTCACACCATCTACCAAGGAGATTACCTGATCAAAGAATGACATAAGATTAGTCTGGCAGGATTTGTTCTTGACAAATCCATGTTGGCTTCTAGTTATTACTGCATTGTTTTCAGTGTGCTTGCAGAGGGACTGCTTTATAATCTGCTCCAGAATTCTCCCTGGGATTGATGTCAGGCTGACTGGTTTGCAATTCCCTGGTTCCTCCTTGTTGCCTTTTTTGAAGACTGGGACAACATCAATCTTCCAATCATTAGGTATTTCACCCATCCTCCATGATTTCAAGAAAATAATAGACAGCAATCCTGCAATCTTTTCAGCCAGTTCCTTCATTCACTGTTTTCAAAAAGGTTTGTATTATAGACATGCCCATTTGAGCATTCAAATAGATTTACTTACTCTTCAAATAAAAATTGGATACAATGCTTGCAGGTTGCTCTTGTAACGTGCAAACCGAGAGGCTAAAAAGATTTTCTTTGTTCTTTAAAAAGAAATCCACAGTGTCCAACTGATGATTTTCTAAACCAGCCTAAAGAAAAATGAAATTATTGCTAAAGGAGTCACTTTGAAACAGATATTTTTAGCTAAATAACTTTTTTCTTTCTCTCTCTCTCTTTCTCTCTCGCACGCACACACATACACACACACACACACACAAATTTTGTGTTGGACTAGATCCTTTTTTTCAGGACTAGTATCTCTAAAACATTCTTTTTAAAAAAGTTTAAAAACATTTTGGCTTAATAAGTCTTTTTTGGGCCTCCAGGGGATCAGGGCAATTTTGCTTTTAAAAAGTTGGCCAACAGGGGGCTGAGTAAAACAATTCATTTCTATGAGAAAACAAATATTTGGGAGTAAAGCTCATGGGAACAGGTAGGCTTTTATAAAGCCCAAGAAAATACCTATGTACCCCTAGGTGTCTGAAGATGGCCCACCCTGCATTAGTGGAAGAAAAATATTCCTACATAGATATAGCAACAATACGGTACATATAAGAGCAAAATATTTATTTATTAGATTTATATCCTATCCCTGTGACGTGAATGGATCCAAAGATTCTTAGATAAAATATTTCAATTGTATAAACTTAAGGCATAAAAACACAATTTCAGTTCAGACAATTATCATATCTACTACTGTGGGCAAGAATCCCGTAGAAGGAATGGAGTAGCCCTCATAGTCAACAAAAGAGTGGGAAAAGCTGTAATGGGATACAATCTCAAAAATGATAGAATGATGTCAATACGAATCCAAGGCAGACCATTCAACATCACAATAATCCAAGTTTATGCACCAACCAGCATTGCTGAGGAGACTGAAATTGAACAATTCTATGAAGATTTACAACACCTTCTAGAACTGACACCAAAGAAAGATGTTCTTCTCATTCTAGGGGACTGGAATGCTAAAGTAGGGAGCCAAGAGATAAAAGGAACAACAGGGAAGTTTGGCCTTGGAGTTCAGAACGAAGCAGGACAAAGGCTAATAGAGTTTTGTCAAGAGAATAAGCTGGTCATCACAAACACTCTTTTCCAACAACAGAAGAGGCGACTCTATACATGGAAATCACCAGATGGGCAATATCGAAATCAGATCGATTATATTCTCTGCAGCCAAAGATGGAGAAGCTCTATACAGTCAGCAAAAACAAGACCTGGAGCTGACTGCAGTTCTGATCATCAGCTTCTCATAGCAAAATTCAAGCTTAGACTGAAGAGATTAGGAAAAACCACTGGGCCACTCAGGTATAATCTAAACCAAATCCCTTATGAATACACAGTGGAAGTAAAGAACAGATTTAAGGAACTAGATTTGGTGGACAGAGCGCCTGAAGAACTTTGGATAGAGGCTCGTAACATTGTCCAGGAGGCAGCAACGAAAACCATCCCAAAGAAAAGGAAATGCAAGAAAGCAAAGTGGCTGTCCAACGAGGCCTTAGAAATAGCAGAGAGGAGAAGGGAAGCAAAATGCAAGGGAGATAGGGAAAGTTACAGAAAATTGAATGCAGACTTCCAAAGAATAGCAAGGAGAGACAAGAGGGCCTTCTTAAATGAACAATGCAAAGAAATAGAGGAAGATAACAGAAAAGGAAAGACCAGAGAGCTCTTCAGGAAAATTGGAGATATTAGAGGAACATTTTGCGCAAAGATGAACATGATAAAAGACAAAAATGGGAAGGACCTAACAGAAGCAGAAGACGTCAAGAAGAGGTGGCAAGAATACACAGAGGAATTATATCAGAAAGATGTGGATATCCCGGACAACCCAGACAATGTAGTTGCTGACCTTGAGCCAGACATCCTGGAGAGCGAAGTCAAGTGGGCCTTAGAAAGCCTGGCTAACAACAAGGCCAGTGGAGGTGATGGCATTCCAATTGAACTATTTAAAATCTTGAAAGATGATGCTGTTAAGGTGCTACATTCAATATGCCAGCAAGTTTGGAAAACTCAACAGTGGCCAGAGGATTGGAAAAGATCAGTCTACATCCCAATCCCAAAGAAAGGCAGTGCCAAAGAATGCTCCAACTACCGTACAATTGCACTCATTTCACACGCTAGCAAGGTTATGCTCAAAATCCTACAAGGTAGGCTTCAGCAGTATGTGGACCGAGAACTCCCAGAAGTACAAGCTGGATTCCGAAGAGGCAGAGGAACTCGAGACCAAATTGCTAACTTGCGCTGGATTATGGAGAAAGCCAGAGAGTTCCAGAAAAATATCTACTTCTGCTTCATTGACTATGCAAAAGCCTTTGACTGTGTGGACCACAGCAAACTATGGCAAGTTCTTAAAGAAATGGGAGTGCCTGACCACCTTATCCATCTCCTGAGAAACCTATATGTGGGACAGGAAGCAACAGTTAGAACTGGTCATGGAACAACTGAGTGGTTCAAAATTGGGAAAGGAGTACGGCAAGGCTGTATATTGTCCCCCAGCTTATTTAACTTATATGCAGAATACATCATGCGGAAGGCTGGACTGGAAGAAACCCAAGCCGGAATTAAGATTGCCGGAAGAAATATCAACAACCTCCGATATGCAGATGATACCACTCTGATGGCAGAAAGTGAGGAGGAATTAAAGAACCTTGTAATGAGAGTGAAAGAGGAAAGTGCAAAAAACGGTCTGAAACTCAACATCAAAAAAACTAAGATCATGGCCACTGGTCCCATCACCTCCTGGGAAATAGAAGGGGAAGATATGGAGGCAGTGTCAAATTTTATCTTCCTGGGCTCCATGATCACTGCAGATGGAGACAGCAGCCCTGAAATTAAAAGACGCCTTCTTCTTGGGAGGAAAGCGATGACAAATCTGGACAGCATCGTGAAAAGCAGAGAC